GAAAGAAAGAAAGAAAGAAAGAAAGAAAGAAAGAAAGAAAGAAAGAAAGAAAGAAAGAAAGAAAGAAAGAAAGAGAAAGGAAGGAAGGAAGGAAGGAAGGAAGGAAGGAAGGAAGGAAGGAGTGGGGGGGAGGGAGAGGAGAAGAGAGAGAGGAGATTAGATAGGTGAGTATGGCCCCACAGTGTGAGCCCTTAGCTAGAAAGGTCACAAGCTGATCCCTCTTTATGGCAGAGCAGTACTCTATTGTCCAAGAAGACCACATCTGTATCCATTCAACAGTTGACTGCTCTGCTTTTTCCTTGGGCCATCTAAACCTTCATGGACTCTCTCAGAACCATAGTTGCTTTATATAATCTTTCTAGTTGTTTTTCTAGCTTTCCTTAATCATGTCTGTATAGCAGTCCTTTTGCACTGATCACAGAAGTGACAGGCTCTTCTTGTGTTCTTGCTTTATATTGTCCCCGTCCTGACACATATATACTCCTTTTCACTACCTTATGCATTCATTACCTTATGGTGCAAAATTAGGGAGTGAGGGTTGGAGATTTTGCTTAACCTGAGGCAGTCAGCTGTCTACTCTTCACTGTATGCTTGAGGATCTAAATTATTCCTGGGATCATAATCTGCTGTTTGAATTTTGTGAAACTATATGTTTGAAGTGATTTCTACTGTGACATATTCTATCAGTTCCTAAGATTTATATTTCTTTCTCTATCCCTAAATATAGGAAATTCCAGAGGCTCATCTCTGTATTCTTTTCTCATCATAGATGAATATCCTTGGCGTTTTAACTGGAGGAGGAACAACCAGAGCAGTGTATCAGAGGAACTTCGTTTCATCCCTGTCTGCCTCATTTTGACTTTAAAATCTAATGGTTGTCTTCTCTTTTCTAGGGTTCTGAACACGACCCTCTTTGAAAGTTGGGAAATAATTGGGCCATACCCTTCCTGGTGGTTCTTCAACGGCCTCCTCCTGATCCTGCAGCTTCTGCACATCATCTGGTCCTACCTAATAACACGAATTGCTTTCAAAGCCTTGCTCCGAGGAAAGGTGAGAATGAAGAGTGACTTTTTCCCTAAGGCTCAAGAAAGATGAGCGTTGTTCAACAGCTTCTCTCCATCCAGGCTGTGAGCCTTGCTACACAGGCAGACCCAGCAGGAGTCAAGCGCTGAGGAGTTCTTTTCTTGACTGTGTGGGTTTCACCTTTTAAAGTATAACTTAGATGCAAAAGCAGGGTCTAGTACATTCTTCTGTCTCTTAAGAATGGCTGTTATGGGGCCGGGGAGATGGCTCAGTGGAATAAGCGCTTCCCTGGCAAGCACAAGGACCTGAGTTCAATCCCCAGTTGTTATTAGCAGGGCATGGAGGCACATGCCTACCAGCGTTTGACACGCTGAGGCAGGAGGATCCCTGTGAGTTCAGTGCCAGCATGGGCTACGTAGTGAGTTCAAAACCACCTGAGCTACACAAGAGTTTTAGCTGATTGTAGTGGCCCACACCTAAAAGCCCAGCCCTGAGGGAGGCTGAGGCAAGGAGGACTATAAATTTGAATCCTACCTGGCAACATAGTGAGACCTTGTCTAAGAATATGAGATGAAAAGTTTAAAAAAAAATAATAATAGATAGATAGATAGATAGATAGATAGATAGATAGAATGAAAAGTTTTAAAGATAGCCTCAATCATTTTCTGCCCTTTTCTACTTTAGTGGGTTATATATTTTAGCATAGAAACCTTCATTTTTTTACCCCCTAATACTGGGGATCAAACCCAGGGCCTTGTGCGTACCAGGCAAATGCTCAACATTGATCCACACTCCTAGCTAGCCCCGAAAGATACCTTTTAATGATACAATTCATAATTGACTCATTCAAGTTCTAAAGAAGCCAAGCTGATGAGCTCAGCAGCCCTCAGTGATGTAGAGTCGCAAGTTGATGGGCGACCACTAGAGGAGGGGTTGGTGCTGGATCTGGTCGCGTTCTAGTGTGTTCCTGGTGGCTGTGATCACTCTCAGCTGGCTCAGTGTGCCCGTGCCTCTCCCTGTAGCTGCTGGACTTTTCTGTTCTCCCTGCTTTTCTTTTCTGACCAGGTGACCTGCCCAGGAAGGATTAGACCCAGACTCTGTACTCTGCACTCTTTTCTCACCTCCTTCCCTCTTTCTATGCCTGGTGGGAGCTGGACAGCTTCATCTCTCGCATGTAAGTGCTATCTGTGCTTCTGGTGTTCAGGGAAGCATGTCTGTCTAAATGTGTTGTTCTTCTTTCCTGCTGTCCTGCCTGTGTCCCTGTGTTTGTGTGGGGACAGTGCCTTCTATCCCAACCTTATGGAATCATTGCTGACTAGAGCTGAAGTTGCCAGATCCTTTTCCTAAATTGAGGCAACAGTTGGATCTATCAGGCTGGGGAAATGGCTCAGTGGAATGAGCGCTTCCCTGGCAAGCACCAGGCCCTTAGTTCAATCCCCGGTTCCACAAAAAAAACCCCAAAAACAATTGGATCTACCCCTCGCACCATACCTCCCCCCTTCCACCCTTCTCTCCTTTATTTTTCATTGATTTATGATCTGTGATCCCCTTACCTCAGATCTAGAAGCACTCTGCACTCTGGCAGGAATTTCCTAAAGACAAGGTAATAAATTCACTATCTGGGTTCAGAAGTCAACAGCTACAATACACTGTAGAATCGCAGAACTAATCCAAAGCACAGGTCCATTGCTTTGGCAACAGCAGTGCTAGCTTTGTTCCTTTTTACCGCTTCCTCTATTTTAACAGCACACATTTATTGCCCTTCAGTTCCAGAGGTCAGAAGTCCAACACAGGTCTCACTACCTTTACTTTTATGATCCAGGATAGAGAATTTGAAATACTCTGCTTGTGACATGCAAGATTATTTGGATTGGAAAATACTGTCCTAATCCAAGTTCTTCACTTGAAGTTACAGATATTTAGGGCCAGGAATATGGCTAAGTGGCGCAGTGTCTGCCTGGAAAGCATGAGGCCCTAAGTTTGATTTCCCTGTACCAAAAAAAAAAAGGTACCAATATTTGAAGAAAAGTTTAGGGTAAAAGGTAAAGGTTCACAGATGGTAGTATAATTGATACTGAGTTATTGACTGTGAATCCTTTCTTGTTTTATGATACTGTATATCTGAATATGCTGAAGTTTCACAAGAGCGTAATTCTGCTATTTGAAAAGAAAGGAAGCCAGATGAGGAAGCACATGCATATGGTCCCAGCACCTGGGAGGCTGGTTGAGCCCAGGAATAGTAGTACTACTTTAAAAAAAAAATCCCATTGTGAATCAGCTTTAGGAATTAGGGCCGGGGAGATGGCTCAGTGGAATAAGCGCTTCCCTGGCAAGCGCAAGGGCCTTAGTTCAATTCTCAGTTCTGGGGGAAAAAAAAAAGGAATAAAGCAAAACTGAAGGTGACTAATGTGATAAATGCAGTGTCCACAGCCACAGAAGTTGGACGCAAACAGATGCCTGTCGTGCGATTTGACCTTCCTGCACTTTGAGAGAACTATTTTTTCTCAAATCTAAGCCAGACTTGGTGAATGATGTCAGTTTTCTTTTGCTGCTTCTAAAATATAAACCCCTCTGCCAAAGCAGCTTCTGTTCCGTAAAGAACAGAATCAGAGATGACAAGAGAAAAAAACCAGAGTGCAAGCAAAGGACATTCATAAAAGTGGCCATGGTCCAGATAACACTTGGAGTCCAGTGTCACAAAAAGTAGAACAGATTGGAAACAGGACACAAATAAGGGCTCCGGGAGCTTAGTGTGCTCATTCACTCAGGAAAAGTTCTATGCTCACTTTGCTACCATTGGTCCCATCCCCCAGGTGTCCAAGGATGATCGCAGTGACGTGGAGAGCAGCTCAGAGGAAGAGGATGAAGCTCTCAGTACTAAAAGCCGCACTGGCAACAGCTCCAGCAATGGTGCCAACTGGGTAAATGGGCACGTGGGGGCAGCTGCTGGGCCAAAGAGTAAATTGGATGGCTTGGGGACTGCCGCAGACAAGGACGTACAGGGCCACTGACAACCTCCTCCTTCTGGGCCTCCCCACATCTACATTCCTGAGACTGACGGGACTGCAAGGCACTGAGGAGAATCAAAGAAACAAATATGTTCACTTTTGTTTTTTAACTCTGCCATTTTGTATTTAATATCCTCCAGATCCTTTGAGTAATGTTATTTGCTCTGCAAGTGTATGTTTTGTTTTGTGTGTGTTTGTGTGTACATTTGTGCATATGCATGAGTTCCATTGCCTGAGTTGGGGCACAATTCCATACTGGAGCCACTAGGCCCTGCCAGGACCCTTTCGGACCCATGTCCATCCCAGGCTGCAGCTTGAACTGTTCTTTCTCTGGGCTCTCTCCTCCCTTGTGCCGATGGCTCTTGAAACTCAATTCCTGGAGCATCTGAAGGAAGCCATGAGGTCTCTCCATTGTTCATTTTTGGAGCGGAGACTATTTAACATGATGAAATTGTATGGAAAGAGGAGCCTTGGATAGATGGCCAGAATTGCTGTGGCCCTAGCTAGATCTCCTTCCTACCACCCAGTAGTGACAGAGACAACTACTGATACCCTGCTCTTTACTCCATGGTACGCAGGGAGGGCGATGGGAGGGGGAGAGCTGGGGCTGGAGGAGGACTACAGCCACTGGGTGTGCTGTTAACGGTTTCATACTGTTGTTTACTCTTCTGTGATTAAAGTGCTTCAACCTCTTCCACTCGTCTCAGCCTCTTTAGTGGCTTTACTCCTAATTCTGTGAATTTGTCAGCTGATTAAGAATTTTTCTGCCAGAGGGCCTGCCAGATGGCTCAGCAGAGTAAAGCACCTGTTTAGGCAAATGCAGGGACTGGGGTTCAATCACTGGTGTGCCATGCCGGCCCTGCCTCCAGGGCACACTGAGATGGTGACTGAGACTGGGCTGGTGGCACACGCCTGTAATCCCAGCGCTTGGGAGGCTGAAAACAGGATCACCATGAGTCCAATCTCTCTAGTGAGATCCTATAGGCCCTGTACTAAATACATTTAAATTTTTTTTTTTTTTAATTTTCTGCCAATTGTAGTGGCAGTGCCAGCACTCTGAGAGGCAGGGGCAGGGGATTCAAAGTTGGGAATTTAACAAGACCTTAACTCAAAAAATAATAATTTTATTTATTTATTTATTTTTAATAATTTTAAAAGGACCAAATATGTATCTCATGTATCTCAGTACAAAGACCCTGGGTTCAGTACCCAGTCCCACAAATAACAACAGTGTAATAATAATAATAATAATAATAATAATAATAATATTTTTGGGGCCAGGGAGATGGCTCAGTAGAATAAGCACTTCCCCGGCAAGTACAAGGGCCTGAGTTCAATCCCCTGGTTTTCGGGACCTGGACATAATTTTTTTTTTTTTTTTTCTCTGTGCATGATGTCAACCAGCGTGGACTACATTTTAGGGCTTTATGTTTTAAGAAAAAACACATTTAAAGGGGTCCCCAAAACAGTGCCAAGCAGGTAAAAAACAGTTGGCAAAACCAACAGAGGCTTTGGTGGAAAACTAAAACACCTTTAGGTAGGTGTCTGTATTTCTTACCTTACTGTAGATGTTTTCTTCATGGTTTTGTCTGTCAGCTCTTGGAGAAGCATTCATCCTAATACAGACGTTTCTCTAGTTGAGGCCTTGACCAAATTACTGTCTCGGTTACCTTTTCTGTCTCATTGCTGAGACAAGGTACCAGTTTTGAGGCTGCAAAAGGTGGAGATCCTTGTGCACAGGCCTTCTCAGCAGTGGAGATCTTCTCAGCTTTATCTTTGCAGTCCACAGTTTCATTGGAGTTCCCTTTCTGGCCAAACACACTTTAGTCTATCCTGCTGGGCTCTTTGCTCTTGATTCTCAACATATGTCTGAGTGAAAGTCCCAAACAATAGCCATGCCACTGCCTCAGCAGTCAACTGCCTTGAAATTTGTTTTCCAGATTAACCAGTCTGCCATGCTTAATCTCAAATCTCTGGCAGAGTCTCTGGACAAGAGTAAAATGCAGACAAATTTTCTGCCTAGTCATAACACACATCCATCTGGAGCCCAACAACCAGTGCAGTCCTTCCCAATGGAATCCTCCTGAGACTGGTCTTTCCTAGCAGGATTTTTGTCAGCCTTGTGGTCTTCTCAGCTCTGACCAGAATCTCCCACACAGAACAGCCAAAGGCGTTCCAGCACTTCTTTTTCAGGAGACATCTCCAGGCCTTTCCTGTCTCTTCCCACAAGCCCTTCCCCAAGGCTCTTGAGGCGCACAGTCGTGTATTGTCACAGCAATGACCCCACTTCTCTGGTACCAAATTCTGTCTTGGTTAATTTCTCTTGTTGCTGGGACAAAATACCTGACACCCAGCAACAAGGAGGGCAAGGTTTATCTCACAGTTAGTGGAAGTTTCAGTCCATCCTCGGCTGGCTTCAGAGCACTGTGGCATATGGCACAGGGGTAACAATTCCAGGGGTAGAAGAGAGCAAAAGCAGCAATCGCCAAAGCAGGGAGAGCAGACCTCTTCCTAACACTGTGCCCTCCTCTTGCATAACAAGCTTAGGATATTTATAAGAACCTTGGCCCCCTGTTGACTCAGTTTACCTTTTAAACTTTAGTTGATACAGTGTGTCAGTCATAACAATTACCAGAACAATTTTCCACTTAGTGCATTTTTTAAAATTTATTTTTTATTTTTTATTTTTGCAGAACTGGGGATTGAACTCAGGCCCTGCGCTTGCCAGGGAAGCACTTATTGTACTGAGCCATCTCCCCGGCCCCACCCTTTTAGATTATAAAAATATTTCTTGCCAAGGATGGTGGCACACACCTGTAATCCCAGCACTCAGGAGGGGAGGGCAGGAGAGGACAGATAGCTTGAGGCCAACCTGGACTTACATAGACCAAGTCTCAAAAAACCAAAAACCAACGACAATAAAAATGTCTGCATGCTTTGGAGACATTAGGACATACAGAGACCTTCGTATCATGGAGATGACTGAACATGGAATTATGTTATTCTAATATAATTAGAATAACATGGAGTTATTCTAAGGAACATGGGGTTATTCTAAGGACAAGATATTCCACTTTCACTGGCATTATAGGGATACTGACCTTGCTAAGCTGAGAGTCAATTTTAAAAAGATTTACTGTTGGCATGGGAAAGTTAAGTTTTAAGTTGTCATTTGATCAGAACTAATGAGGAAGCAGGGCCTGGTGGCCCATGCCTGTAACCCCAGCATCTATTTGTCATATTGTTGAACAGACTATATATTGTTGAACAGACTAAGTGTAAAACAGCAAAAATAAATGCTTTTGAAAGCCAGAAAAAGTATGTATTTTGCTTTTTTTTTTTTTTTAATTTTTTGTTTGTGTGTGGCCAGCTCAGCCCACCAGGGGGCGGGCTGGCTGGCATGTGGTGCTGGGGGATTGAACCACTGTGCCTGTGCTTTGCTGAGCTTGTTCTAAGTAGGTGCT